ACAAGTAGGAGGGGGAGAAAAAGGAAATGGCTGGTATTTAAAAATACTCAACCCAGGGGGCATGAACTGGAGAAAGAAGCCAGATGAAACCCAAATATGGCTTGGAATACAAGAGAGAATGAATAATTACGGGTGCTCCCCTCCAAGCCTGTGAGTAGATGAAAATCATGTCACGGCTGCTGTGGTTGTGTAGGTTAGTGCTGGTGCATCACCACAGTGTTTTTTCTAGAGCTGAGAAGAAATTCTTTTGGAATACATCTGCAAATTGGTACCTCTCTCTGTAACATGTAGCTATTAGATTAATGTCTGTGAAGAATGCTCTTCTATTCTCTTGCTTGGTGCTAGCACAGCCCCCACATCTGCAGTACCCTCCCAGCACTTAAAAATTAAAAATCATGGTAACTTTCTCCCTAACCCACAGAATAAACAACATACATCAGCTGAATAGCAGACACTGCCATTAGCTTTTACTGCAAAACCGTCATGTGAAGGACTGCTGAAGTAAAGCTTGTGTGAAGACGTTCTGTGCTGGCATGTGTGCATAGTGAGGTTTGCTCTCTTGTCCCCTATGAACATGGGCAAAGGATTCCTGTATCCTCATTCGCAAGGCTCCTTCAACCGGCTGAAATTGTCATATTTCTTGTAGCAAACAGGTATGTCCAAGGCTGGGCTTTCATGACTTCCTGCAACTGCGAACAGCTCTCGCTGACTTGTGACAGCAGATTACATTGGATGGCTGAGGCTCTTGCCATCCCCAGCCACCCGCTGCGTTATTTTTAACTTGGATTGCTACCCTGATCCAGCACTCAGCACAGCTCCACAAACAGCAGGCTTGGCACAAGTGAGGGAAAATTGCAGTCTGGGGTGGGTCTAACAAACATGCAAAGAGCTCAGCGGATCCTTAAGTCGCCACCATGCGATCCCCGATCCCCGTCATGAAACAACAGCCCTGGGGGAACAACGATGAGTTAAATGGAAGCAGAACAAAGGCATTAAACAGAACTGTACTTTTTTTTTTCACACAAGAAATATTTCCAGAGGACAACCAGCTTATGAATCTTTCATTTTCCGAATGTACAATACACAGCTGGAATTGTTGCTCATCTTTTACTAAGTACCTTTGAGGAGTGGAGCTGCAGGGTCCTACCCCGCTCAGCCCACTGAAGCTGCAGTTCCACCTGCATTTCTTTCAAAGGCAAAACGAGTGTCCCTCATCTCCTCCCCTGTGTGTCCTCGTGGTCACTAACTCCCATGCTCTGCTCACTCTGCCAGTGCAGCTGTGTGTGCAACTGCATCATGACTCAGATTGGAAAGTTTCAGTGGCTGAAGAGCAATAGTTCCCCACTCTACCCTCAGTTATTTTTAGCCAGAGCAGTTCCTGATCCAGTCCACCCTACAGACAGACAAACAGCTGTGTCAGTATGACA